CTGGAGGCCGGTGAACCAAGCTCAGCTCGGCCCAGCGTCTGAGTCTGGTGAGCAACACCTCAAGAGAAGTAGAGTCTTGCCCGTGCCGTGCTCATGTGGGCACGGCTGCTGGGAGCTCAGCCCGTGCGTGCCCCAATGACTGAACATTCTCCGACATGACTAAAGACACGTCCCATTTGCATTCTCCAACGGCACCACGTCTCCAACACTGTGGCATTGGGTGGGGGCCGTTGGAGTCTCCCAGGGCCGCCATAACAAAGCACCACAAAAAGCCAAGACACCCAGAAGGGAGACCAGCCCACAGTGCAGGGGGCTGGCTCATGGTTTCCTGTCCCCACGGTGAGCTCAGCACCTGGGACAGCCCCCAGCACGCAGGAAACACAAAGCCTGACCGTGAGAGAAGACGCCGGGGACCCAGAAGGAGCACTCATGAGCTTGAGTCTCCGCTGCTCTTCGCCGGCTGCTTTCTGACCTCTGAGGAAGCCCCACCTCAACTGAGTCCAAAGGACCCCCATGCTCAGCACCGGGAGCCTCCAAGTACAGGGTCCGGCGCTGGGTGCAAGATCAACAGCATATTGTTCACAATCGCCAAAAAGCAGAAACAACTCTAGTGTCCACGCACAGAGGGATGGATAAACCAAATGGGGCCCTGCCTCACGGGGGAATAGGAGTCAGCCATACAAAGGACCAAAGGTCTAACGCCTGCAGCCCAGTGGATGGACCTTGAAGGCACGAGGCTCTAGCAGACGCCCAGGGCCACAGCGTGTGTGATCCCGTGTCCCTGAAATGTCCCTAACAGGCTCGTCCACAGAGACAGGAAATCGATGCATGGCCACCTGGGGTCAGGGGTCCGGGAGGAACGGGGCTGGGGCCTCGCGGGGGAATGGGGGTGCTGGCGCTCCGGTGTGCAGGATTTCCTTTAGGACAGCTCACAACGTTCTGGGACGGCATCATGCCGAGGTCTGCGCCTCTGCGAACATATTCAAAACCGCAGAATTGTCCACTTTAAACGGCTGAACTTGACAATATGTAAATGAGGTCTCGATAAAGGTGTGAAGAACCAAAAAAACGAGGGGCATACAGCAGTCCCAGACAGGAGGGCGTTCGCCCGCCGCCGCCGTGCGCTCAGACCAGCGTGCATTTCCTGCGAGGCAGGGGGTGAGAGGCGGTCCCAGCTGCGTCCCTCTGCAAGAGCCCCCTCCGCTCGCGCATTCATACACTTTCCCACCGCACCACTCGCCGCCGTGCGCTCCGACCAGCGTGCCAGAGCTGATTTCTTTATTAATCACCCGTGCCGCTCAGCGGGAGGCCACCCCGCGTGGGGGCCCAAGCGCTCCAGTCGCAGCTGGGGCTGGCCTAGCGCAGAGGGGGCTGAGTGCTCTCCAGAGGTGAGTCATGGGGACGCGGGGGGCCCGCGGGCAGGGGGGCTGCTTCACGGACCTCTGTTCCTCCCACCACCCACCGCGCACGTCGGCTTTCAACAGGGCCGCACAGCATGCAAATATGTGGGGCTAACAGGCAGCCACCTGCGGGGGGGAAGGGGGCACATTAGATCCCCACGTCCCTCGCTCCTCTGTGAGCAGAAAGGGAAACTGTTTCCCCGCCCAGGGCCGCTCTGTGCTGGGAACAGCAGGGCAGCGTCCCGCACAGGTCGGTCGCTTTCCTGCCGACCATTGTGGGCTCCAGGACATCCGCTCAGCCCCCTGCAGCGGACACGTCCTCAGAGCACACAGCAACGTCCCTGCTCACCCTCTCTGCACCCTGCACGGTCTTGGCATCTGGCCCCCACGTGTGTCCGTCCGTGGCACCCCTGGGGACCCCAAGGAGCATGTATCCCTCTCTCCGGCTCCTGACGCCCCAGCGTGGACTGAGGCCGCCCCCGGATAACTGTAGGATGCACACCTGAGCGTGCTTTAGTGGAGCAGAAAGCATCCCACTCAAACTGAAACTCGGGGCCATTTTTAAACCGGTTTGAGGAACCTCTCCGATGCTGGCGGACGGTGGCAGGTCTTGAGGCAGGAAGAAAGGCCCGCTCAGGGCAGCGGGTGGAAATCTGCAAGGGCTTTGAAGGTGGTGTGCGGCCTCTCCGGCATGCGGACCCTGCACGTCGTGCTGGTGGACACCCCCCGGGTCGGCGTCCCCTAGGATGAAACGGCCAACGCCCAGGCTAGCTGGCGTCACGGTGAGACAGGTCGCCGTGGGGCCTGCCCAGGGAGCCGAGGGTGTCTTTGGGGCTCCCGTCTGCATGAGGGAGGCCTGATCTACCAAGAGGCCACCCTGAGCCCCACGCCCTGCTCCCAGGAGCCCCCACATCTTGCAAGTGGGGAGCCCACAGACTCAGCCCTCTGCAGAACAGCAAGCAGGAATCCACGTCTGGATCTCAAGCCAGCAAAGCTCAGGAGAACGGTCCTCGGCACCTGCCGCCCAAGCCCCAGGCCCTCCTGCCACGGAACGTTTTCTGCCCCCCACCCCCCAGGAAAAGACCAGCTGCAGGTGCAGACAGCCGGAAGCAATGAGGCTTGCCCAGACAGGACAGAACCGGTCAAAACCAGAACAGCTTGCTCAGCGTCCCGGCCTGAGGCCATCAGTATAACGGTGGTGAGGCTCATGGTCCACAAGAACACCAAGGCTTGAGGACACGCTGCGCGCTCTGGGCCCGTCCCAGCCCCAGCTCTATGCTTGCCCCTCTTGCAACCTCTGAGCCCCATCTGTAAAATGTGACCCTGACGCCCGCCTCACCACCTCCGGGCATGGCGGCGGGGACCAGGGAATGGGCGAGTGGCCCTGTGCCGTGCGGTGCCGGCCATACAGAGAAGTTACCATGACCTGAGCGATCACAGGAGCTCCTGTGCAATCACAGTGTGAGCGGGGCCAGGGGCGGCGGGCTGAGGCCGTCAGCATAATGGTTGGCGGGGCCGGGGCGGCGGGCTGAGGCTGTGAGCACATCCATCTCTATGTGTATAAATATGTAGTAGGTTGTGTGTATATCCACATGCATATATATGAGAGAGAATAAATGTGCAATAGGATGTGCATATATACACATACATATACAATACGATGCATGTATTTGCAATGACTGCATACGCAATAGGACATGTGTGTATATACATACATTTGTATAAATATACGCAAGAGAACATACGTGTGTATGTATGTATATAAACACACACGCATATACAGAAACATACAAAAAAACATACATCAAGGAATTGGGCTCACGCGATTGTGGAGCTGGTGAGCCTGAAACCTACAGGGCAGGTGGGCAGGCTGCAGACTCAGGAGAGAGCGGGCCCTGCAGCCTGGGGGCAGGACACCTTCCTGGCTTCCCTTTCAGGCCTTCCCCTGATTACACAAGGCCCACCACAGGATAGAGCATCATGTCTTTACTTCAAGGCAGTTGCTTGTGCTCTAGAGCTGCACCTACGAAACCCCTTCACAGACACCCTCGCAGGTACACCCAACTGGAGAGATGGGGGCTGTAGCCAAGCCACGTGGACACATCGGCCAGCCCTCCAGGTGGACTTGACCTCACCTCAGGACACACTCTTCCTTCCCCGGCACAGGCACACTCTCTCCCCTGCGCCCCTGGGCTCCACCAGCATGCACAAGACTGCTTTGCGGCTCTACCCAGAGCACACGCCACCTCCGCCTCCGGCAGGCAGACCTCCACTGGGGTCAGCCGTGCCTGGTCGGCCCCGGCTCACAGACACGGCACAGGTGGGGCCTGACCGGGGTGCCCTGGCCCAGGACCAAAATAAATAAACCAAATCACTGTTTCCGGAAAACTTGGATAAGCAAAATTCCCAGAGTTTGCCGTGTACTCCACTCTTGGTATATATTCAGATGATTTCATAACCCCACCCCAAAGAGCCCGTAGTCTGTTTGGGGAAAGCCATGGGACCTAAGGCAAGAAATCAAGAGTACGAAACAGAGATAAGATGCAGATGGCAATGTGGAGACCGGTCAGGTACTCCATCTGCCCCAGCCAGAGAGGGCTGCCTACCTGGGCGTCTGGGTTCCTGTACCTGGGAGGCTGGGAGGGCTATGGGGTTTTGAAACCACACTGGAGACGTGTGTGTGTGTGTGTGTGTGTGTGTGTGTGTGTGTGTGTGTGTGGTTTTGGGACAGGTGCACAGGTTTTGTACCTTGAAGCAGGTGCATGGGTGTTGTTACCTTGAAACAGAGACGTGAAACAACCGTGTGACAAGTGGGTGCACTATTCCCTGCACCTGTGGTCATGCACTTAAATGCATGGGTAGAGGGGGCTGTGGGGCCATTGGCGACGGAGCAGGGGACTTCCTGTGTGGTCTGCGTGGGGCCCTCCCAGAACCCCCATCGGGGCCTCCAGAGTCCCCCCGTCGCTAAAGGGTGGCCCCCCAGTGGGCACCCCAAGATTGGGGCCTTAGCGGCAGGTGAGCGGAGCTGCAGTGTCCAAGCACGAGGCAGAAGAAAGCAGGAGGGCCAGGCACAGGGTGACAGGGATGGACCTACTGGGACTTCAGTGCTGGCGGCACAGCGCCCCCGTGTGGCCAGGTACAGTAGCCAGCCATAGTCAGGACAGGGGGCGGGGAGGGAGGGGGACCCGAGGCGACCCCCTCCACCTTCCAGGGGTCCCAGAGGAACTTCTGCAGCTGGAAACCGGGTTAGCGCCTTGGCAACTCTGTAACCTCGCAACTGTGTGGCACGTCTCCCCCGGCGTCCTCCTGGCCCCAACGATGAAGCCGCTGCACCCTAGCTCGCAGCCCGCTCCCTGCGCTTCCAAGGAGCAGGAAGGGCGCGACTGCCCAGGCAAGCGCCCGGTGTCCCGGCGCACGGGAGGCGTCTGGGTGCGACGCAGCTTCCCAGGATTTAGCGCGCCTCCGCTCCGCCCCTTGCCACAGGGGGAACCACACCAGCTGCGCACAAGCGTGCGGGACAGCGGGGGAGGTGAGCGAGGGAGGCCGGCCGGGGGCCCCGTTGTGCTCTCCTCCTCACCGGGCTGCCCCATTGCCTTCCAGACGCGCGCGCGCGCAGCAGGTGCAGGAGCAGGATGGATATGAACATGACGCGTCCGGACAACGCCACCATCCTGATGCTGCGGGACCCGACCATCGCCGTGGTCCTGCCCGTCGTGTACTCGCTGGTGGCACTGGTCAGCATCCCCGGCAACCTGTTCTCGCTGTGGGTGCTGTGCTGTCACATCGGGCCCAAGTCCCCGTCGGTGATCTTCATGATCAACCTGAGCGTCACGGACCTCATGCTGGCGAGCGTGCTCCCGTTCCAGATCTACTACCACTGCAACGGGAACCACTGGGTGTTCGGGGAGGTGCTCTGCAACGTGGTCACCGTGGCCTTCTACGCCAACATGTACTCGTCCATCCTCACCATGACCTGCATCAGCGTGGAGCGCTTCCTGGGCGTGGTGTACCCGTTGGCTTCCGCGCGCTGGCGCCGGCGACGTTACGCGGTGGCCGCGTGCGCCTGCGTCTGGCTGGTATTACTGGGCGCGCTGTCCCCGCTGGCGCGCACCGACCTCACCTACACCGTGGAGGCGCTGGGCATCGTCACCTGCTTCGACGTGCTCAAGTCCACCATGCTGCCCAGCGTGGCCATGTGGGCCATCTTCCTCTTCACCCTGTTCATCGTGCTGTTCTTCATCCCGTTCGTGGTCACCGTGGCGTGCTACACGGCCACCATCCTGACCCTGCTGCGCTCGTCCGACGTGCACGGCCGCGGCCAGCGACGCCGCGCCGTCAGCCTGGCCGCCGTGGTTCTGCTGGCCTTCGTCACCTGCTTCGCGCCCAACAACTTCGTGCTGCTGGTGCACATGGTCAGCCGCCTGTTCCTGGGCGGCTCCTACTACCACGTGTACAAGCTCACGCTGTGTCTCAGCTGCCTCAACAACTGCTTGGACCCCTTCGTGTACTACTTCGCGTCCCGCGAGTTCCAGGAGCGGCTGCGCAGGTACTTGGGCTACGGGCGGCTGCCGACCGGGGGCCGGGACGCGCGCCGGGACACCCTGTTCTCCGCTCGGACGCTGTCGGCGCGCTCCATGTCAAGCGGCCCCGGCGACGGGCTCGACGCGCCCAGCCGGCCCTCCCTCAAAAGGCAGGAGAGCGTGTTCTGAGCCGCGCCCCCCCGCAGTGCGCGCAGTAGAGAGGTGCGGGACGAAGGGGCGGTGCTCTTCCCCGCCCGCCTGCCCCCTGCAGCCGCTGCTACTGCGTCCGTGCGCATGGACAGGGTCCCCGGAGGGGGGGGGCTCGAGTCGGGTGCCCCAACACAGCCGCAGGGTGCAGGGACGCAGCGTGCCAGGCGCACTGGCCCTGCTCCCTGAGGATGACCACCCAACCCGACCTGGCCGAGCGCCCAGCCAGCCCAGCTGAGTCCCCATCGACCCGCAACATCCGCCTGCCTGGTTCTCTGTGCCTCTCGCTCGGGGACGCCAGTGACACCTGATGCTCCCCAGCCTGGCACAGCTTGGACTTGGTGCTCACACCGCCCTCGGTCACTGTGCGCGCTGGGATTCACCCCCGCGAGGCTGCCCCCGGCTGGGTCTCTGCATCCTGCTCCCAGCGGAGAACCCCGAGTCACAGGCAAGGCCTCCCACGTGTGAGGTTGGCCTCGTGCACCTGGCCTGACCCAGGCACCCAGCAAGACGGCGGACTGCACAAGCCTGTGGGAAGACCAGAGCCCAAGGCTCCTTTGTGCCTACTGGCCGCCTGAGCACACGGGCAGGGGCTTCCTTATCTCCTCCTGAGCCCAGGACACAGCTGTGCCAGCCCCAAGATGCATGGTGCTTCGGGAAGACAAGGAACCGCATCCCCACGGGGTCCGGGATGCCAAAACAGTGCGTTTCCAGGAGCCTGAGATTTGCCTGAAACAGCAAAGTTTCTGATACTTTCTTCATCACAAGGCGATGCACGGTTTCGGCTCAGGGGCCTTCCTGGGGCAACGGCTGCGGGGCAGGCAGCCTCCCCACAGGAGGTCCGAGATACAGATGGAGATTGATAGCTGCCGTCCAGGGGCCCCTGGGGGCACCTGCTCCTGCCATCACTGTTTTGGAAGGAAAACAGACACACCTGTTCTGGAGCGAATAGTGACCCCAAACCCGTGTCCACCCAGGACCTCGAGGTGTGATCTCCTGGATCGGGGTGGCCCTAAATCCAATGACAGGTGCGCTTATTAAAGACAAAAGAGGAGACAGAGATACAGAGGAGAAGCCACGTGAAGAGATGGGGTGGGGGTGGAACGCGGCCACCAGCGCAGAGACGCCTGGAGCCCCAGAAGCTGGGAGGCAGGAAGGACCCTCCCCTGGAGCCTCTGAAGGGAGCTTGGCCCTGCCCCGCCTGGATCTCAGCATCCCCTCCGACTCTGGGATGAATCCCCTGTGGATTTAAGTCTCCAGCTTGCACAGAGAAGGCCGGAGTCCCAGCTGGAACTCTCACCCACGGGCTCCTCAGTCCTCAAGACCACGTGGCCGAGAGGTGGCCTCTCCCCTTGTCGATGCACACAGTGACGTGCACGCATGGAATCCGAAAATGATGCAGGTGGCCACCCTTCACGGAGGCACCCGCTGCACGCAGTAACTGGAGAGGCACGCGCGGTTCCGGCTTCCGGTTACGTGCTGTGGATCTCAGAGGTCAGTGTATAAACTGTGGACCCCGATACCAGCCTGGGGGGGCTCCAGGCCCCCTTCCCTGTGCGTGGTCCTAGAATCAAACCCAGGTTCCTAGCTTTGCCCGGTGTCCATGCATGTCTGGTGGGGGCAGAGGCAAGTGCAGGTGGAAAGCAGGTGAGTGCATGCTATGCTCGCCCTCAGGAACTGAGAGTCAGCCTTGGGGGTCCCCCTCAACACCCCCCACGCCACGCCGGGGTCGCGTATCATCCTTGCCCACTGCCTTGCAGCTAGAACGTCCCCACAGGGGACAGTGTCCGAGCAAATTGGTCCCGAATGCCCAGCTGTGTGCACCGAGTTCAGAGCCACCGTAGGGACCCTTCGGAGAGACCCCTTGATACTTACCTGGTGAAGGATTTACCTGGGGGAGGCACAGGTGACTCCAAGAAGGCCGGCATCAGGAACCCGAATTCTGCAGGGAAGGAGCCACATCCCCCTATCTCTTCCAGACTCTCCCAAACCCAAACCCTAGAAAGCAATGTCGAGGCAGTAGGATCCAGACTCGGAAATCCTGAGCCAGCAAGACGCCCCCACCCACACTCTGGGCGTGGGCCTCGGGGCGTCTGACGCACAAAAGCTGTGAAAACCTCAAACCAGCCGCACAGAACACCTTGGCGGCCCACGAGAAGCCGCACACCTTGATTCTGGAGGAAGCCTGTGTACATAATATCCTCCTCCACAGGATGTCAGGGCCTGGAGCCCTCGGGTGACAGAGGGGACTGTCTCCGGTGTCACTGTCCAGTAAACGGGCAGCACCTCAGCATGGGGCGTTAGCGGGGGGAAGGAGGCAACCCCATGGGGTCTTTCCCATTGCTGGGAATCCCAGTGCACAGGTCCCAGCTTCATGCCACGGTGTCTGTCCTATGGCCTGAAATGCCAGGGCTGGTCTTGCTTCTGGTTCAACATGCGAATAGTGTAGTGTGCCATGTGGGTCTCTGTGTGTGTGTTCCCCAGAAACTCAACCTGTTCACCTGCTAAGTAGCAAATAAAAGTATACACGTGTGTGGGTACATACGGATGTGAGCTTTTTCAAAAGATGTGATACCGGGAATCAGCTCCTGGCTGCACGTGGAGAGGCAGAGGCACCCCGAGACTTATGATCCTTGATGCCAACCCTGATTTTTCCCCGTGCAGAAGGTGAACGCATTGCTCATTCTGACCTCTGAGACCCTCGCTTTCTAAAGACATGTCCCATCTTGCTTTGAACCGCACATTCCCTCCAGCCAGCTCCCGGGATCTTCAATGTGAAGACTCTCCACGGAGGGTGGAATCAGTTTACTTGGAAGCACACGGCATGAATCAGGGCAGCACAACATGGATGGGGCGTGGGGTGTAATCAAGGATTTGTTGCCCCGATGTCGGGGCTTTAAAAAGACATCCTTTTTTGTAAGAGATACATGTGTAAATATTCATGTGTCTAATGATATGATGATTGATGCTAGGCTTAAAATACTAGAGCAAACACATGCATACTCACACATACATGCATGAACGCACACACACATACCCATATTCACGCAGGTATGCGGGCATCCCTCAGGCACAAATGCACACAACATACCCATGTGCATGCATGCCAGCATCCATCCGTGCATGCACGCACATGCATACACACACACATGCACACCATGTACCCATATGCACACATGCACACATGCAGGCATCCATTCATGCACGCACACATGCACACACATATGTGTACACAATGTATCCATATGCACACATGCACCATGTGGGCATCCATCCATGCATGCACACACATGCATAGACACACATATGTGCACACAATGCATCCATATGCACGCATGCACACATGTGGGCATCCATGCATGCGCACACATGCATACACACACATATGCATGTACATGGGCATGCATGCAAATTTGGGGGGCTGGAAGAAAAATGGCAGAATGCTCATCACTGGTAATGCTTGAAGCTGGGTGAAAGGAACGTGGAGTTCCATTCTATAATTCTCTTTCCTTTGAGCATATTTGAAAATATCTGTGCTTGAAAAAATGAGGTATATTGGGAAATGTCACACAAAGACATCGATTTCTGCCCAGCGTTGCCTCTCCGAATTGCTGAATGTGGAAGAAGCAAACATTCCCAACCCAGCTATTCTTTTTTTTTTCTTTTCCTTCCCATTTTTTTATATTGTGGTAAAACACATACACACAAAATTTACCATTTTAACCGCATTTGAGTGTGCGGGTAAGTGGTATCAAACACATTCACGGTGCTGTGCCACCGTCCCCAACATCCGTGTCCAGATTCCTTCATCGTGTTGAACGGAAGCTCTGACCCCAGGAAACAAGGAACCCCCTTCCCATCCCCCACGACCTGCTCTCTGTCCCTATAAAAGTGACGCCTCCAGGGGCCTCGTATATACGTGGAATCACACAGTATTTGTCCGTTTGTGTCTGGCTTATGTGACTGACCATCACATCCCTCCAGCTTCGCCCACGTCTCCATTGAATCAAGGTACCATTTACCGACCACACAGCTCACCAGGTATTTAATACGTTTGTAGAGGTGTCCCAGAAACACCACAATGCAGCTATGGGACATTTCCATCACCCCCAAAAGATGTTCGATGCCCATTTGCTCTCCATCCCTACAGCCAGCCCCAAGCAAGCACACAATACACTTTCTGCTTCTGTAGATGTGTCCTTTCCGTCCCTGTGACATCAGTGGGATCATACAGCACATGGGGTGCTTTTCCTCAATATGGCATTTCGGGGTTCATCTGCGTGGTAACATTTATCACTGTTCTCCCCTCTTTGCTCCACGGGCTGGGTGAGCACCACGTATCTCTCATGCCAGAGACAAAATCCAAATAGCCGTAGTTAGGCCGATTTTGACCTCAATCTCCAACAAAGGGTCCAATCCAAGTACCCAAAACAACGGGGCTGAAGTAGGCGGGACATAGAGAACTCCGCCTCTATCATGAGGTGCCGGGAACGTATTTCTACCCTGCACTTTTTGTTCTTTCTGGAATAGACAGTCAAGAAAACGCATCCCCCGCTTACCAAGACTTGAGAATGTCATAGTTATTCAGTCAATGAAGAAACAATTTGGGTTCAGAATGACTTAGTTAAAATCTTCAATGTTTGACCTTGGCTTTTTCTTTTTTTTTTTTTTGAAGTCTGATCTCTTTGAAAATCTGTGCGATTCTGCAAAAGTCCGTGAAGGTTTTTGTTTTGTTTTGTTTTGTTTTGTTTTGTTTTAGTGTCATGAAAGTACTTCTAGGGTAGGAATAAATCCAAGTGAAGGCACAGGGAGAGGGTCTCCGGACGAGGGTAAGCCATGTAACGGGTACGCTAGTTTCCGGGACTCACGGATAAACCCCACACGCGGGGCAGCCATCGTAGGATAAACCCCACACCAGGGCATCCCCCTGTCTATCACGTGGATGAGCTCCTCCGTCTCACTACAGTGGGGTAAGTGTTGGGTCCATTTTGCAGAGGAACAAACTGAGGCACAGAGAGTTGGAAGGACTTGTCTGGGGTCCCAGAGCCAGCAAGTGGGACACCCTGGGTTTGAACCTGGCACTGTCCCCAGAGCTCCAGCCCATGTCCGTCGGAGCCCAGGCAAACCATCAAAACACCAGCCAGCCTGTTGGCAGTCCCAGCAAAGAAGCAGGCGGGCGGTGGGGGGTGGGGCCTCTCCGGGAAAACGACATTCCGTTAACCAGATCGTGGAAGGGTGCCGGGCAAACGGGCTGCCTTCGATCGTGGTCTGGGGATGTGCCCGCGCCGGCTCGTGCTTGCGACCAACGCACCACGTGACGGGAGGGTGTTGTCAACCGGACAGGGAAGGACGTGACAGGTGTGCAAGGACCCTCTGTGCTATTTGGGCAACCTCCCCAAGAACCTAAAAGGATCACAAAATGAACTGGCTCTTCTTTAAAGAAGGAGATGAGTGGCTTGTGCACAGACGTGATGGGGATCTTGAGGGAAATGTCGAGCTCAACCTACCAAGGACTGACTTCCAAAATCCGCGGGATGCTCAGGGCAGGCTGCCCTGGGTGAGGCCAGCTGGCGGTCAGAACCGCTATCAGCGGGCTGGCTGGTGGGCGGCCCTAACCAAGAGAGGCTCCATGATGGGGTCTGGGGGGCTGGGATGGACAGGCACAGGGATGGGCTGAGGAAGGGGTGGGATTACCTGCATCCTGCCCTCCTGTGGGGAGAGCAGCAGGGACAAGCAGAAGGCGCCACTGTGATCTCTACGGAAGGTCCCCAGGCTCTGCCCACCACCCCAGCCCCCTCCATGTGTATCACGACACGGGCTATGAGTATCTAAAGCTGCTTCGAGCCCTTATCCCATGCCTCACGGGGGATCAGCCAGTGCAGCACATTAAGGGGGGAAAATGAGAAGTAGCCATGCCATCAAAATATATCACAGGCTGTCACGTTGAAATACGTCTGTGCCATATATATACAGACACGTGGGCATGTACATAGACATACTTATGTGCGATATGGGTTTGTATGCCCGTGTGCACATTCGTCTGGGGACATTTCTGGTGGTCACAACAGTGGGGGGCGCTCCTGGC